GTCACCGCCTCACGTCGGCTCTGGGTGTGACTGATGTGTTTTCCTCCTCGCTGTGTGTGGGGTGTTGTCACCGCCTCACGTCGGCTCTGGGTGTGTAGCGTCTCACTGCATGGCAGAAAACAGACCTGGAGAAGTCCTTTGGCTTGGCCAGTGTCGTGTTGCTGACAGGTGGTGGATCAAGGGTTAAACGTAGGAAGTCCATGTTCTGTCCACTTTGACAAGCTATTTTGTACATTTAATCCATACAAGGGAACAATACCTGCACCACAAGGTTTAGGAGATTTTCAGTGAGAGTGGACGTGAAGAGTATTTCGTAAACAATAAAGCAGTTTATAGTCATTTATGATTCTCAGCTTTGCATGAACCTGAGGGATGCCAGGCCACTTGCTCTAGGAGCCCATATTCTGGTTTCTTTGTCCTAGACTACTTTTTGGACCTTTTCCTAAAAATATACATTCTAAGAGTCAAGGTAGGCCCGGCGTGGTGGCTCATGCCTGTAATCCCAGCACTTTGGGAGGCCAAGGCAGGTGGATCATGAGGTCAGGAGATCGAGACCATCCTGGCTAACACAGTGAAACCCCGACTCTACTAAAAAGTAGAAAAAATTAGCCAGGTGTGGTGGCGGGCACCTGTAGTCCCAGCTACTTGGGAGGCTGAGGCAGGAGAATGGCATGAACCTGGGAAGCAGAGCTTGCAGTGAGCCAAGATCATGCCACTGCACTCCAGCCTGGGCGACAGAGCGAGATTCTGTCTCAAAAAAAAAAAAAGAGTCAGGGTAACAGTGTTCCTAATTTGATGCGTGGATGAGAGTTCATGTCAGTTTTCATCGAGGCCGAAAGTTAAACCTGAGCCATTTTCCTGTCCGGCTGCACATTGTGACAGGCTGGGCACACTGACTCACACTTGTAATCCTGGCACTTTGGGAGACTGAGACAGGAGGATTAACTAAGACCACGCTTTCAAGACCAGCCTAGGAATATAGTGAGGTGCCGTCTCTTTTAATTTTTAAAAAATAGTCCTTGTGGCTGACTCTGACCATGCCAGTCCCCATCTCCTGGAGCCCCCGTGGGAATATATTCAGTGGCTGCCTTTTGTGAAGTGGGGCCTTTTGTCCGGCCACCTAGCCCCAGGGCACTTGTGGCCTGGGCGTGTTTCTGCCAGCAGGGACTTGAAAGTGTCTGGCAGTGAAGGAAGCAGAGAATGAAGGGAGGCTGGAAAGGGAGCGGGGACCGTGGGAAGAGAAGGCGGCGCCGGCAGGCTGAGTGCACATCGGTGATGAGATACGGAGATCCATGATTGAACTTCTGGTGTGTCTTAGCCCACTGGGGCTGCTGTGATGAAACACCGTAGACTGACTCATCAGCAGCAGGAGTCTGTTGCTCACAGCTCTGGAGGCTAGAGGCCCAGGGTCGAGGCACTGGCAGATTCCATATCTGGTGGGGCCCTGCTTCCTGGTTGATAGCCAGCACCTTCCCACTGCATCCTTGTGTGGTGGAAGAGGCAGGGGAGTGCTCTGGGGTCTCTTTCATAACCCCATTCTTGAGGTTTGTCCACTCTCGTGACCTTATCACCTCCCAAAGGCCCTGCCTCCTGACACCATTACCGTGGAGTTAGAGTTTCGGCCTGTGAATTTTGGGGGACATGAACATTCAAGACTAATATTCTTTCAGTATTCCGATTACTAAATGATGTGTAGTATTCGGTGGAGAAAGCAGCTGAAATTAAGGGGTTAAAATTGTAATAATGGCCGGGTGCGGTGGCTCATGCCTGTAATCCCAGCACTGTGGGAGGCTGAGGCCAGTGGATCACAAGGTCAGGAGTTCAAGATCAGCCTGACCAACATGGTGAAACCCTGTCTCTACTAAAAATACAAAAAATTAGCTGGGCCTGGTGGTGCATGCCTATAATCCCAGCTACTCAGGAGGCTGAGGCAGGAGAATCGTTTGAACCTGGGAGGCAGAGGCTGCGCTGCAGTGAGCTGAGATCGCACCAGTGCACTCCAGCCTGAGCGACAGAGCAAGACTCCACCTCAAAAAAGGAAAAAAAAATTGTAACAATTAAATTGGCCAGCGTTTTTTAAAGTTTTCCTTAGCAGGTCTGTACAGACTCACTAGATAGTGTTTTATTCTTAAAGAAGATTAACACATGCTGGCAGGACCACTGCAGACAAATGGTAAGCAATGTTTTTATCAAAACATGACTTCATCCATCTTCCCTCACCCACATGATTGAGAGCTGAGACGTAGAAGTTCTGTCTGTGTTCAGTGCTATGGGTGAACAGCACAATGAGAAAAGCAGGGAAGGTGAACTCAGCTCTTGTGGGAGAGCACTGCTGACCCTCTTGGCCTTCAGGTCCACAGTCAGAGTCCGCAGTGGTGACAGGATTCTTAAATGCCTGAGTGGGTCTCTAAATGTCTCTTTAAGCACAACTTACTCCAGAAAATCAAGCCTGAATCCCAGGTCTTTACTGTAACTGCACAACCAACATCTTAGGCTTTGTAGATGTCTTAGCTTTGACTTGACTTCATGTGTACATTTTGGTGTGAGCTGGCTGTTAATTAAGTGAGAGAAAAGACCGTATTAATAGCTTTCCTAAATAGGTTGAAATCTTTCGTTTTCTAAATGAGACAAGTAGGAGACGATGGGTGTGTTTCTTTTCTGGGCCAGGTACCTGGCAGCTGCTAGAGCCCGCGGAGTGTCTTTGGGAAGGTTTGAGTGAGATGTGTCCACACGTCTCCCCGGCCAGGTGGTGGGCTCGGTGGTAGGAGCACAGGACAGGGCCAGTGCATCATCCCGCGTCCCCTCACTCCGCTCGTAACGCAGAGTCAGAGACACACGTCCAGGGGCCTCATCATGTAACAGGAACTCGGGTTTTAAAAGCTTAGTGCATCTCCCTAATCAAGTAAGATGTACCATGTCAGTCAAAAAGTGACCAAATTTAAAAGATATCCTTTAGGCTTTGCCTGAACACAGGATCTCTTTAAAAAAAAAAAAAAAAAAAAATACCGTTTTAGGCTAAGTGCGTTAAAATTCTTACAATCAGATTTACGATATTAAAGAGATGGAAATCACATACCAAGGGAACACAATTAACTTTAGGAAAAAAAAAATCAAACATGAGGACCGTGGTGGACAGCATCTTTCCATCAGGAAACAGTTGTTGGATTTGAGACAGCTAGCATGGAGTCCAAAAGGCCTGATCTTGAATATTCTGCTAGTAGAGTTCACGAGTAAATGGTTCTTCTTTCTGCTGGTCAGATCATGATTAGAAGCATCTTCCTGTTCTTGGACCGCACCTATGTGCTGCAGAACTCCACGCTGCCCTCCATCTGGTGAGTGTCCTCACGGGGCAGAGCCGCGTCTTCGCTGCGGCTGATGCCTTCCGTCCCATTTGTGTCTTCGGCAGGCTAAGATGGTAAAGTGTGTGTGATTACTTGTGCCTTCCTTTCTTCAGCCAAAATCATTAATGTGAACGTAGGAGTCCAGGTGGGTCTTAGCCTTGAAACACCAGGTGCCTGGCCAGCAGCGAGGAGTAGAGCAGGAAGCTGGGACAGGCGGCTGACTTTGGTCATGAGGGTGGAAACAGAGGGCCTTGGTTTCTCTCTGACAACTGGAGTTTGAGCCTGGAGCAGCTCTTTCCAGCACTGCAGTCGAAACTCTGAGAGACTGCGTGCTGCCCGTGGGGTCATAGCCCTGAGGCTGCGTGGCCGCTGTGGAATGGCTTGCTCAGCCTCCTGGCCTCCTGAGCACATAGACAGCACTCATCATCCGTCATCTTTCGGAGACTGTATACACTAGGGGTTCTGGGGCCCCTCCTCAGCAGCATTCACGGCCACTGACCCCTGCATGTCATCTGCTGACCCCCATGTGTCCTGTGACCACTCCATGTGCTGAGTCCTGCTGCCTCCTGCAAGCCGACCTTGGACAAAAGCTGTGTCCGTCTCACCGTCTGATTTGTCTTGTTCTCTGTTCACCGTCTAATTGGTCTTGTTCTCTGTTAATGGAGTGTTTCATTCTTCTCACATTCAAACATAAAAGTGATGTTGTGCCTTCTCATGACCTTTAAACCCAAGTTCTTTAAAATGTGCCTGCTTTTCCTACCCCCACCCACTGGGCACACTGACCCAAGGCAGTGTGATTTCTGCCTTCGGCATGTAGAGATTGCTCTTGTCTGAGATGTCAGTGACCTGCAAGTTACTAAATCCAGCAAGCATTTTTTGTCCTTATTTTATACAATATCTGTGCAATTTTGGACACCCTGTCCTTGTTGAAGCTCCCTTAATGCCATTTGTCCCTCTAACTTCCTGGTGGAACCTCCACACATCTCCTAGCAGACATCCACGTAGTCTGTGAGAAGGCAGACGCTGACAGAAAGGACAGCCTGTGTTCCGGGAAACAATGGAGATAATAAAAGTGATCATAGTAGCTTATTTAGCATTTACTCTATGCAAGGGACTGTTTCCTACTAATGTATTTAATCCCTAGAACAGCTCTATGGCGTGGCCATTGTAACTCCCCTTTTATACAAACTAAGGCACGTAAGTTGAAATAACTTGCCCTACCTGGATTGTCCAGCCCATAGTCTAAATGCTTTTCAAAAATTATTATTATTATTTTTAGAGACAGGGTCTCACTCTGTTACCCAGGCTGGAGTGCAGTGGTGCAGTCATAACTCACTGCTGCCTCAAACTCCTGGGCTCAAGTGATCCTCCTGCCTTGGCCTCCCCTGTAGCTGGGACTATAGGCACGCACCACCACATCCAACTAACTTCTAAAAATTTTTTTGTTGAGCCAGGATCTCACTATGTTGCCCAGGCTGGTCTCAAACCCCTGGCCTCAAGCAATCCTCCCACCTCAGCCTCCCAAAGTGCTGGAATTACTTGTGTGAACCACCATGCCCAACACTAAACTCTTAATTTGTAAACATAGGGTATACCATAACTGTCATACAAACTACAAACATCGTTTATAGAATAGAATAAATGATACCACCTCCAGTCTACCACAGGAGGCTAAAAACCCGAATGTGAGCATCAGTACAACAAGAATCCTGGTTGAGGTGTGTGTGGGCAATGCGTGGTGAGGACATTGTCCATCTCTGGGATGGGGAGGAGGGCTGAGGGTCAACCTTGGCCTGTGCTTTGGAGAATGAGCAAGGGTGGTCAGGCAGCTAAGAAAGAAAGAGTAGAAGGAAGGAAGCAGTAAGTTCAAAGCCTAGTGTCTCCTGCCGCTGATGGCTAGGACAGCAGCATGACCGGAAGAAGCCCGTGTGGGGCCTGGGCGGGTGGGGAGGGGTGGAGCTGATGAGGGCCCTGACGGGTTTTCAGCTGAGGTGGTGGTTTTGAAGAGAAGATCCCTGTGGCAGGGTGGAGAGTCACAGAAGTGGAGACCGGAGCCTTTCTAAGCACTGGCTACCTGCCTGGCACTGCCCCAAGGGCTTCACAGGCAGGAGCTAATAGCGTTTGAGCCTCATTTTACAGCTAAGGAAGGAAAGGCACAGAGACGTGAAGCTCCTTGCCCAGGGTCACACAGCTAGCAAGTAGTAGGGCCAAGATTCAAACCCAGGCAGCTGCCTCGAGCCACGAGTCTGGCCATTGCACCTTCCTGCCCCTGTTGTGGTGAAGTGCACAGAAGACCTGGTGTGCAGCAGGCCTGGGAGCGACAGGATGCCTGTGGCGGTGTGGTGGGCAGTCAAGGGCGGTGCGTGTCTCCACCACCGAGTGACTCCCAGGGCCGTCTGCACACCTCTGTGGCACCCACCGCTGCGGCTGCTGCCACCACTGCCACCATAATTCATATTATTATTACTGCCACCGCCAACACCCACCTACCACTGTTTCTACTGCCACCACTCTCCACCCACCATTACTGCTGCTATCACCGCCACCACTGCTATTACTACTGCCACCACCACCTGCCCACCACTGTATTACTGCTGCTGCCACCACCAGCACCACTCCTGCCCTCAGGTGCCAATTCAGGATTTCTGGCTGGAGCCCAGCATCTGTATTTTTGGCCCCTCCTTAACGGAGTACTTGGCCACTGGGGGCAGCAGGAGTGTTGAAGCAAAGCACAGAACCCCCAACATGGGTTTTGTGGACAGTCACTGGCAGCTGAAACATCTTCATAACATTCCTCAGGCCGTGAGCTGAGGACTGCGATGAACTCTGAAAGCCATGTGTCACCTTCTCTTCTTGGGAAAGCAGCAAACATTTGGTGGGAGAGCTCCCAGGGCTTGGAGAAGGGAAGCTGCTGGGACGTGCTCCGCAGAGGACATTGGGAAGAGAGTGTACCCTGAGGGCTGTTGCAGATGGTGGCAGGCAGGGCAGGTGGGGCAGGCAGGGTCGTGGTGCCCGACAGAGCATCTCCGGTCACTCACCAGGAAGGTGGCAAGAACCCCGGGCTTCCGCCAGCAGATTATGTGATACCAATTTTGTCGTCAGTGGCATGCTTGGCCTAGCAGTATCTCCAGGGACATGGAGCAGACAAGGCACACTAGACTGGCCGAAAAACAGAAGTTTTTAAAAAGAAATTCTTGGCACCTAGATGTAGAGAATTAGCTACTTCACATTTTTTGGATGATATTGAGTAGCATAGCTGGAGATAACACCCATAACTTCTAAAAAGCGAAACTAAAATGTATTGTTTCTTACTGTCTGTACAGGGATATGGGATTAGAACTGTTTAGAACCCATATTATTAGTGATAAAATGGTTCAAAGTAAAACCATTGATGGAATCCTGCTGCTGATCGAGCGCGAGAGGAGCGGCGAGGCCGTGGACCGGAGCCTGCTGCGGAGCCTGCTGGGCATGCTGTCCGACCTGCAGGTGAGTGCTGCCTGTGCCGAAGATGCCTGGGTACCTGCCCAGCTACTTGCCCCAGAATAAATGGTTGTACCAAAGATGTTAAACAATGAAATCATAGAAGTGTTTGTTGAAGATTGAAGAGTCTTTAAAATCCCTAGGAGGGGAATGGCTCTCAAGCTAACACCACACCAGGTGCCACAAAAGGGAAGATGGATCAATATCACTACGTAAAATGCGCCTTTTTCATGGAAAATATACCACAAACAGACAAAACCAGATGACATACTCGGGGAGAATGTTAGCAACACACACAAAAGACGAAGGGTGAAGTTCTTTAGTGCAATGTGACCCCAAGGCACCATAGGAAAAGAACAGAAGAGGGTCTGCCTGGCCGTTTGGGAAGGACAGTGCAGCTGGCCGGCTGGGTGGCCACAGGCAGCTCCAAGTTCAGGTCATGGCAGCCTGCCCCGTCAGAACCTGGGATTTGTTAGCCCTTGAAAAGGTAGTTTCCTTTACTGAAATTGGTCAGTAACTCTGCTCATTTCTTAGGTGTATAAAGATTCATTTGAACTGAAATTTTTGGAAGAGACTAACTGCTTATATGCTGCCGAAGGCCAAAGGTTAATGCAGGAAAGAGAGGTGAGATGATGGGATGCTTCCGAATCCCCTGGCTTCGTTTCTGCATATGAGCATCTGGGAGGACTTTCCTCGTGTTTGCCTTTTCACACACACACAGATGTTTCATTGAAAATCTGAAAGCTGCAGTCTTGCCAGAATCCCCAGTAATGAGCTTCATTCTTAGTATACTAAGAATTTAGTTTATGTTAACTTAGAAACTATTGCCCTCCCCCCACAAGTAAAAATCTGTCAGATCGTTTCTGAAATAAGTAAAATAACTCAAATTTAAGCAAAATGATAAAAACATACACCTTAAAAATGAAAAATAAATACAAATGATAAAATTTTTTATTTGTGTGAAGCACTGCAAAAAATTTTCCCAAAAAAAGCCATGTGAAAAAACATATAGTAGTAATAGGAACCAAAAAAACTTAACCACTTTTCCAGATACCAGAGCAAAATCATAAAGGAACCTGCCCCATAGACTATCACCCAAATGGCACGTGCTACTGCCCAGAATTGGCCCTGGCCATTGGTTCCTTCATTCTGGCTTTGGAGAGGAAGTTTCATGTCAGATACTGAGCCCGGCTGCAGCTACCCCGGCAGAGCCTCAGGCCTTTCCTGCACTGTCTTGGGAAACATAGGTGTACTTTGAGGTCTCCTGCCACCACGTTGTTTGGTGTCCCCAGATGAACAGCCAGCTTGTTGACTTGCTTTTGCTGACCCATCTGTGTGGGGCAGAGTTGCCATTTAGCACCTCACCCTCCTACCAAGTGCTGCTCAGCTCCCTGTGGGCCCTGGGGATGGGAGGAGGGTGTGCACAGACCCCAAAACTTAGTGGTGAGCAGGGACGAAAGAGAAGTGCAGCCTGGGCCCTGTTCTAGGATGGATGTTAATCTCGATCCTTTCTCCATGTCCGCCCAACACACTTGCATCCTACCTCTCCCTCCCTGTTAATCTGTGTTAATATTTGGCTTGAATACATATTCTGCTTTTTTAAAAAATTACATATAAGGAAAATAAAATTTCAATCTCTTGGATAATGTTGACAGTCTTTTTGTTACTGATACGTTTGTTTTGTTTGGAAGGTTCCAGAATATCTTAACCATGTAAGTAAACGTTTAGAGGAAGAAGGAGACAGAGTGATCACTTACTTGGACCACGGCACACAGTAAGTACCGATCGCTCACCGAGCATTCATGTCTTCACCACGGCTGGAGGGTTCTCCTGGCTGGTTATTGAAATAAAGGGTGTCTCTGTCAGTTCATTCAGCACTAAGAGTATTTTTGCACCTAGCATATTTTACTTTGTTATTTGTCCTTATTTGGCATTTACAAATTACAGTTTTTACCTAGTGCCTTGTCATAAGTTATTGTCTAAAGGGAGTAAATCTTGCTGAGATACTTGGCATCTTTGAGTTTTGAGATGGGCTATTTATGTTAATGGAGTATCACTGAATATTAGGCTATTTTGATTGTGCACTCATTTTATATCACTTTAATTTTATTTATGGTGCTGTCACACAATTTTCCCTTTTCTTCTAATGTTTTTTTCCTGCAAACCTGAGGTTGATAAGTAGCTAGGGAAACAAAAAGGTTGAGATTATGTGAGTGTGCGTGTCAGGCACAGAATGTCCGTGTGATGGGAGGCAAGAACAGGGGCAGAGGGGACAGCAAGGGAGAGAAGTGAAAATGATACAGTGTGCAGCCAGGTGCGGTGGCTCACGCCTGTAATCCCAGCACTTTGGGAGGCTGAGGTGGGTGGATCACGAGGTCAGGAGATCGAGATCATCCTGGCTAACCCAGTGAAACCCCATCTCTAGTAAAAATACAAAAAATTAGCCGGGCATGGTGGCGGGGGCCTGTAGTCCCAGCTACATAGGAGGCTGAGGCAGGAGAATGGCGTGAATCCGGGAGGTGGAGCTTGCAGTGAGCCAAGATCGCGCCACTGCACTCCAGCCTGGGTAGCAGAGGGAGACTCCATCTCAAAAAAAAGAAAAAGAAAATGATACAGTGTGCAGAACTGGGCCCCAGTAGGGAATGATAAAATGTACAGATGTGCAGAACAGGACTTGGTAGGACTCAGCAGAGAAAACAGGAAGGGAGATGAAAATGATACAATGTGCAGAACTGGACTCAGCAAGGTAAGGAAAGGGGCAGGCCGGATGAAGGAAGGAGACAGGATTATGACAGAATCCAGCACGAAAACAGAGCGCGCAGGAGAAGAGATGTGGTCACTCCGACGTGTGGAGTTGGAGGAGGCTGTGCGAAATCCAAAATCTCAAGCCAGACAGGGTGGCTCAGGGGCCATGTTGTGCTTCCATCCAACTGGGAGCAGAAAAGCAGCCCCCAGGAGACTAGGAAGCAGCAGCCAGGGAAGTCCGGGGGAAATGGTGGAGAGAGCAGCAGCCACAGCGAAGCCCCACAACCAGGGTGTGCAGGTCACACACAGCCTCCCTGAGCCCTTTCTGCTCGTGTGGGAAGCAGGAGGCGGAATGTCGGCTCTGCCCTTCTCCATAAGATGGTAGGTTAAAACGTTCTTTATAAACTAGAAATGAAGGCTTGGGAAGATGGCTGAAATTAGCAATCCTTGGAATAAAGCAGATGCATCCCTGCTTCCCTGGGCCTGCCCGTGGGCCTGTTTGTGCTGTTCAGTAGGGGGTTTTTAGAAAGTGCTTCCTTCAGAGTTATTAGCAACAGGAGTCGTCCATTTGCATGAGGAAATGCTCTTAACCTTCCGTTTCTGATTGCCTCTAGACTGTATCTGTCATAGACAAACGCCCCCATCTTTTACAGAGAACCAGTCTCTTCTTTAAACTTTATTTCTAACACTTATTCTCTTTGCCTTATGTAGGAAACCACTGATTGCTTGTGTGGAGAAACAGCTGTTAGGAGAACATTTAACAGCGATTCTGCAGAAAGGTAGATTTCCTAGCTCTTGTGCAAATTAAACTGAACAGTTATCCTTAATTCATTAGGAAAGTAAAGGGAGCATTACAAATAGCAATGTTAGGATGTTTGTTATTTTCATAAGACCGTCATTAAACTTCTTTTCTAATGAACATGTTAGCCATCCACAGGAGAAAAAACCAGAGAAAGAAGGGAAGGCACCCAGGGGAACTACATTCGCTGCTAAAACCCCAGTGGCGGGAAGGCCTGGGGGCCTTCTGTATCACACACATGCTGAAACCTGGGTGCAGCGAGCCTGATGCAGCTCCCTGAGCAGACTCATTGCATGTGTCCGGCCATTCTTCGTGCACACTCGGATGTAGGCGACTCAGGGAGCTGTTCAGGCTGTTAGATTTTCGTGAGGCTTCCCTCACCTGTGGACTTCGTGCATCTTAGTGTCAGATGAACTATCGCCTAGGTGGTCTGCTTAAGCAGAGTACACTTTTCTCCTGATTTTCTGGAGGAGAAGAGCATGTGTTCTTGTGCTGACTGGACGGCCTTAACGTCCACTTCTCCCCGAGTGCTGGCCACAGCAGGAAGATGGCTTCTAGCAGCCTGCACCTTTAAAATGGATGCTGATGTCTTCAACTCGATCTTTGTTTTACTGCTTTTATTTCTAGGCTTCAAAGTGTGCTAAATTCTGTGGAAATTATAATGAGCAGTCTAACCTTTATAACACTTCAGTACTTATTGTGATATTTCAGTGTTACTGTTTGAAACAATGTTACTTTCTAAAAGTCATTTAATGTATTTGGAAAATGCAAGATTTTTTTCAAGCCCTTGGAAACCTTAAAGTTTAATTTTGAGAATACTCTAAATGGTATTCAAATATATTCTGGTGGCCGGGTGCGGTGGCTCAAGCCTGTAATCCCAGCACTTTGGGAGGCCGAGACGAGCGGATCACGAGGTCAGGAGATCGAGACCAGCCTGGCTAACACGGTGAAACCCCGTCTCTACCAAAAAATACAAAGAACTGGCCAGGCGAGGTGGCGGGCGCCTGTAGTCCCAGCTACTCGGGAGGCTGAGGCAGGAGAATGGCGTAAACCCGGGAGGTGGAGCTTGCAGTGAGCTGAGATCGCGCCACTGCATTCCAGCCTGGGCGACAGAGCAAGACTGTGTCTAAAAAAAAAAAAAAAACACCAAATATATTCTGGTTTGGGTTCTACATTGTCAGATAATGGCATTATGGCTAATGAGATACTTAAGTGCAGCCAGAACAAAACCAAAAGGGAGGGAGAATTAACATGATTGAGCATCTCCTGTTACGAACAGCTACACTTGATGTAAATATCTTTTAAAATGATTCTGTGAAATCATTATCCCCTTTCTATAAATAAGAAAACCAGGGCTTAAAACAGCCAGATACTGGTGCCTGAAATCACATTGCTTGTAAGTTGAGAGCCATGGGTCCAATCTGATTATGGTTTTTCTGCTTATTCCGTACTGAAACCTACACAGCTGGTGTAGTTTCACCTATCCACCTAAAAACAAATGCATTCAGAATTTGTGTCAGGCGTTTTTTTGAAAGGAGTCACTTTATAAGAAGAAAGGCCAGGCATGGTGGCCCATACCTGTGACATCAGCACTTTGGGAGGCCAAAGTATCACTTTGGCCCAGGAATTCAAGACCAGCCTGGACAACACAGAGAAACCCTGTCTCCACCAAAAAAATAAAATTAAAAAATTTTTTAAAGCCACAGGTGGCGCATGCCTAGGGTACCAACTACTCAGGAGGCTGAGGTGGGAGGATCACTTTGGCCCAGGAGGTTGAGGCTACAAAACTACAAAAGCCTGGGCGACAGAGCGAGAGACCCTGTCTCAAAAAACAAAGAAAGAAAAAAGAAAAAAGCCTGGGTGACAGAACAACAGAGCCTGTCTCAAAAAAAAAAAGAAAAGAAAAGAAAAGGCCGGGCGCGGTGGCTCACGCCTGTAATCCCAGCACTTTGGGAGGCCGAGACGAGCGGATCACGAGGTCAGGAGATCGAGACCAGCCTGGCTAACACGGTGAAACCCCGTCTCTACCAAAAAAATACAAAGAACTGGCCAGGCGAGGTGGCGGGCGCCTGTAGTCCCAGCTACTCGGGAGGCTGAGGCAGGAGAATGGCGTAAACCCGGGAGGCGGAGCTTGCAGTGAGCTGAGATCGCGCCACTGCACTCCAGCCTGGGCAACAGAGCGAGACTCCGTCTCAAAAAAAGAAAAAAAAAGGCCAGGCGCGGTGGCTCAAGCCTGTAATCCCAGCACTTTGGGAGGCCGAGACGAGCGGATCACAAGGTCAGGAGATCGAGACCAGCCTGGCTAACACGGTGAAACCCCGTCTCTACCAAAAAAATACAAAAAACTAGCCAGGCGAGGTGGCGGGCGCCTGTAGTCCCAGCTACTCGGGAGGCTGAGGCAGGAGAATGGCGTAGACCCGGGAGGTGGAGCTTGCAGTGAGCTGAGATCGCGCCACTGCACTCCAGCCTGGGCAACAGAGCAAGACTCCGTCTCAAAAAAAGAAAAAAAAAGGCCAGGCGCGGTGGCTCAAGCCTGTAATCCCAGCACTTTGGGAGGCCGAGACGAGCGGATCACAAGGTCAGGAGATCGAGACCAGCCTGGCTAACACGGTGAAACCCCGTCTCTACCAAAAAAATACAAAAAACTAGCCAGGCGAGGTGGCGGGCGCCTGTAGTCCCAGCTACTCGGGAGGCTGAGGCAGGAGAATGGCGTAAACCCGGGAGGCGGAGCTTGCAGTGAGCTGAGATCGCGCCACTGCACTCCAGCCTGGGCGACAGAGCGAGACTCCGTCTCAAAAAAAAAAAAAAAAAAGAAATATTTTAAAAATTAAAAAGTTACGTTTTTTGAATTCTTAAGACATGGGTTTTAGTAAGATAAAGTACAAAAAGTTTGTGTCAGTAGATCAGAATGTAATTGAGAGAAATAAACATTTGAAACTCTAGGTAAGAATTGTAATTATAGCCCCACCGTATGTTTGCACACATATTTAAACCACCCCATTTGTGTGGACACCGTGCCCATTGTGGGCAGAATCTGAGACTTTGTGAATTGGATGACTGTTCACTGTTTTATGCTCTAACCTGGCTGCCTCTCAATAGTTACCATAAAGCAAGTATTTAGAAAATCTGTGAGAGTTTTTCTAATTGAGGTATGGTTTTAGAAAACCCTTATAAACATTAAAAATCTAAAACACTGAAAACTTTTTTAAATGCTATGTTAAATACTTCAAAATATCTGATGATATTTTTCTCTTATAGTTTAGGTGTGAATAAATTTAATCCACTATAAATTAGATTTGATAGCTTGTCCTTTTACATTGTCTGGCCGATGGACCAAATTAGAAGTATATTGGGAACATGAACCTCCCAGGTTAAATAGTTGGTATAAACTGAATTTTCTGACTTGCTAACTTTAGTGAAATAAGAGGGCTTCAGTGACATGAAGAAGTAAATAATACATCTTCCAACATACTCAGAAAAAATGAGGTTCACCTAATAGGATCCATCTCAGATATTTAACCAGATCAACCTGCTCATATACAGGCAGTGATGTGTAGACCCACCCAGTTTCTAAGCGATGTATTGGCATTCTTACTGTGCACGCTGTATTCTAGTTGAGTTATTGTTGTTAATGCTGCCCACGCTGTACTCTGCTGACGTGTACTGCACATCTCAGGGCTTGACCACTTACTGGATGAGAACAGAGTGCCGGACCTCGCGCAGATGTACCAGCTGTTCAGCCGGGTGAGGGGCGGGCAGCAGGCGCTGCTGCAGCACTGGAGCGAGTACATCAAGGTACTGGCGGGGTTTCGAGGCCGCAGGCGCGGGCGTTTCCTGCAGGGAGCAGAGCCCCTCCTGAGAATACCCAGTGCCCTGACAAAGGGAACTGGGCTGCTGGAGGGCCCGTTGGCATTTTCATCACAGATGATAGGGTGGATGGTAGTGTTCTATCTGCTTCCCCATCACCAGTGTGAATTTGCTTTTTAAGATAACACCAGCAGTGATTAGCACCATCCAGGTAGAAAGTATAACTTAAAGATCAACAGTTTTGCTCTTCTTCATCAGCGTAAATATTGGTTTAATTCTAAATCATGATTTTTCTGAAAGTAATCATTTTTGTAAATCTGCTTGTCAGACAGGATCTCCTCATGCCCTTAGCTCAGTGAGAACTATTATATATTTGGCGTATTAGATTGCTTTATAGACTTTATTTCTTAACAGACCAAATTTAGGATTTGTTACTTAAACTTTCGCTTTCATGTTTCGAAAGCATTTCTTTGGCATCCCTGACAAGCCCAATCCAACCCATCATAGCGTGGTTTCTTGAGCAGTACCCTGAGTTTTCACATGTCCTGCCCAGGGGAACAGCCCCTCGGTGCTGACATAGGACCTCCCTGAAGACTAGGGGCTCTCGGCCCAGGGCACCACCCCACCAAGGGGACACTTGTTGATGTGTGGAGACGTTTGTGGCTGTCTGAACAGAGAGGGTGCTGCTTGCTCTGCTGGGCAGCCCCGGGGTGCTGCTGAATGCATGAGGCAGCCCTCACCACAGAGAATCGCCTGCCCAGAGTGCCAGTGTTGCCCAGCCCAAGAAACCTACTGAAGATCCTCTATAATGAGAAGCCATTCTCCAGATGCCCCTTACAGAAACAGGAGAACTGAGGCAAACATCAGGGCCCCTTCGCAGATAACTCGTGTTTTCAGCATGTGCCAGTTGCATGAATTTTCCAGCTTAAATGGTGAGCGTTTAGCAGGAGTCTGTGTGTGCTTGCTGGTGACTATTCTTGGATCCCAGAATGAAGAGATAGATAAAATTTCCAGAGAATTACGCTGAGAGAAAAAAAAAAAAGCCAATCGCAGATACTTAACATGTTACTGCATAACATTCTGGAAATGACAAAATTTGGAAATGGAGGACAGATGAAAAGTTACCAGGGTGCAGGGATGGAGCGGGGTGTGTGGTTATAAAAGGCCCCAGGAGGTAGCCTTCTGCAGGAACTGTTGGGGTTTTGGCTGAGGTCAAGATGTGCACACCCAGATGAGTTACAAGTCAACTGGGCCATCTGAAAAAGACCTGGGGGGTTATCAGTGTCAGTATCCCGGTTGAGATACTGTTCTGTAGTTTTGCAAACTTGTCATTGGAGGAAACTATGGAAAACAAAGATACTGGGATTGCTTTGCTATTTTTACTATTATGCAGCGCTTTCATTATCTCATAAAGATTTCCATTAAGTAAAAAATATAAATGAAAGCTTACGTGCTGCTTTATGGAATAATCAGACCTCAAGCATGTATCAGTCCAGCTGTGCAAAGCCAGCACACCCAGCACCTCTCCCCACAAGGTCTTGTACAGCGATGTTGAATTGGAAGTTACAACTGAGTCACACTAAATTGGCCATAAAGCTACTGAAGATTTAGGTTTTTTGCCAGTGAGACAGTCTTCAGGGGATGAGAATATGTGCTAAAAAACTAGGAAAAGTTCACCTTTGCAATTTCCAGTCTGGGTAATAAAAATCAGTGAGTGACGGTCACCCCTGAGTGTCAGCAATAAGCAGTTATGCTATAACAAAATAGTGGTTTCCATTCAACTCCACATGCTGTTATCAAAGTAAAGCTGTGCCCTTTCTGTTGGCATTTTTTTTTTTTTTTTTTTTTTTTTTTTTTTTTGAGACAGAGTCTCGCTCTGTCATCATCCAGGCTGGAGTGCTGTGGCATGATCTCAGCTCACTGCAACCTCTGCCTCCTGGGTTCAAGCATTTCCCTGCCTCAGCCTCCTGAGTAGCTGGGATTACAGGCTCCCATCACCACACCCAGCTAATTTTTGTATTTTTAGTAGAGACAGGGTTTCACCATATTGTCCAGGCTGATCTTGAATTCTGGACCTCGTGATCCACCCGCCTCGGCCTCCCAAAGTGCTGGGATTACAGGCATGAGCCACTGCGCCCAGCCTTCTGTTGGCATCTTTCCAGCGGCCAGCTACCTCGTGTGTGTGTGTGTGACGTGTGAGTGCACGTGTGCATTGTATTGAGACATTTTTTAAATCAATAATTGTATTCAGTTCCTGTTGAGCAAATGTAGTTTATGTCATCAAATAGTTAACTTTTTTAGTGCCACATACTTTTAGGAATGTTTAATATAACATTTTTTAATTAAAAAAACAAACTAGGCTGGGTGCAGTGGCTCACGCCTGCAATCCTACCACTTTGGGAGGCCAAGGCGGGCGGATCATGAGATCAAGAGATCGAGACCATCCTGGCCAACATGATGAAACCCCCGACTCTACTAAAAGTACAAAACTTTGCCGGGTGTAGTGGTGTGCACCTGTAGTCCCAGCTACCTGGGAGAATCACTTGAAGCGGCAGGAGGAGGTTGCAGTGAGCCAAGATCACGCCACTGCACTCCAGCCTGGGGACAAAGCAAGACTCTGTCTCAAATTTAAAAAAAATACAAACTTAAAAAATGAGCTTTTCATTATTTGAAGTGATGGAGAAAGAAAACTGTAGCTAAGAAGTCCCAAGAGGTATATTTAACTAATAAGAATTACCTTGTCTTGGAGGAACTTACACATAAACATTCTTTTAAAAGCAATGGACATTTTCCCAGCCATTTGTAAGTTCTCTCAGAAACAGAATCATAAGAACAAGGCATTAATAATGTGTTTTAATTGTATATTCACATCAAGCACAGGGCTCGTGCCTGTAAACCCAGCACTTCGGGAAATCACAGTGGGAGGGTTGCTTGAGGCCAGGAGTTCGAGACCAGCCTGGGCAGCATGACCGCGTCTCTACAAAACTTTAAAAAGATTGGCCAGATGTGCTGACCTGAGCCTGTAGCACCAACTACTCAGGAGGCTGAGGTGGGAGGATTGCTTGAGCTTGGGAGCTCAAGGCTGCGGTGAACCGTGATTGTACCACCGCACTCCAGCCTCGGCTACAGAGTGAGGCCCTGCCTCAAAAAAAAATTCAAAAAGTATATTCACTTAATTTTTGAGATGTGAATTCAATTTGTGAAACTTTGAGAGTTATTGCTTACTACTAAGAGTAATTTATATGAAACTATCCTGATTGTATGATAGCAGGAGAAAATAGTGTTCGGTATTGTAAACGTATTGCTGAGTTGGCATTGATTTGCTTTTGCAGACTTTTGGGACAGCGATCGTCATCAATCCTGAGAAAGATAAAGACATGGTCCAAGACCTGTTGGACTTCAAGGACAAGGTGGACCGCGTGATCGAGGTCTGCTTCCAGAAGAACGAGCGGTTCGTCAACCTGATGAAGGAGTCCTTTGAGACGTTCATTAACAAGAGACCCAACAAGCCTGCAGAACTAATCGGTAGAAAAATATTTTCTTTTTTTTTTTTGAGACGGTCTCACCCATTTCTAGACAATTTTTTAATGTGGGAAAATAAGGCACAATCAACCAAAATGTTCAAGCTGCTCAAGGAGTGTGTGGAAAACGTTTTTATCAAGTCTTATTAGGACACACGTTTAAAAACTGACACACCTGCATGCATGGGTGGAGGAGGGCATTTCCTTAAGGGAAGATGAAGTAGGAATTTAGAAAAGAAGTGACGCTTGACTTCGCCAAAGAAGGGAGATCACCATCTTTGTATCCTCTGATCAGTATTAAAATAGGATAAAACCAGATGAGATCTCAAAAGATAGCGTATTTTAAAATACTATTTTTAAGTTGTACAGTTTTTTCACAATAATATCAAAATGTATTTCAGAATTCATGCACTTTCTCATAGGCTTTAGTCAGTAAAATTTTTTAATTTGAAGGAGAAAGGGGGCAAAGAGAACTGTAATAGATGATACTAGATTGTTGATTACTGCTGAAGTGGAATATGGAACATGGAGCTTATTGTGCAGTTGTCTACGTTTCTGTGTGTTCAAAATATTCTGTTATAAAATTTTGAAAAGAAAAAAACTAACAGAAACGCAACAGAAGGAATTCAGGAGGCAGTTTGCTTTGACTTTTGTACCTCTGTATCATTGTGGTTTCTCTAAAGAAAAGGAATGTTGAGCTCTTGGGAATTTGGGCTTCTGGAAGTCCTGAGTTCCGCCATCACGTGGGCACTTTGATCCTCCCTCCTGAACCACCTTACGATGGCTTGTGCAGCCTCAGAAACAGGAAGCCCGAGTAGAAATGCTTTACCCTGCGTTGCTGCCTTGGATGCCCTGAGAAAGTCTTTCTCTTTGAGAAAGTCTCCTCTGAGTTCATGACACCAGATCCTAGAAATGGGCACTCCAGCGTCCAGGACAGTCACGTCCTGAAACCTGAGCATGTGTTTACTGAACCCATTTTATTTTGAAATTCAGAGATTGCATTTAGAGATAAGAAAGATATTTAACCCTGCTTTAAACATTCAGTCCTGGCTTCGTTAAAATTTTGGGAAGTATTTACTTTCATGTGACTTGAGAAATACTTATCTTAGAAAATCAGATATGTGCTTTTTTGTCTTATAGTCATTTTGGGAAGGTTCCAGAATGTTCCTGTACATTGTTGCTTATAGAAATTGGAGATGCTCTTTTTTCTGATTTAGAGTATTTATTATATTTATGCTCACAGCAAAGCATGTGGATTCAAAGTTAAGAGCAGGCAACAAAGAAGCCACAGACGAGGAGCTGGAGCGGACGTTGGACAAGATCATGATCCTGTTCAGGTTCATCCACGGTGAGACTCAGAAAATGCTGCGTATTCAAGAGGTGTAAACACAGGCCCTGCTTTCTCAAAGGAGGTTTAACATGAGAATGTCAGTATCAGTAGATCCAGTTTGCATTAGAATGAACTCTTTTAAGGGTTTTCAGCAGTTGAAGTTTAACATTTGCTTATCAACTCTCTGATGTCTTGATTATTCTCATCTGGTTATAAATAGGTAAAGATGTCTTTGAAGCATTTTATAAAAAAGATTTGGCAAAAAGACTCCTTGTTGGGAAAAGTGCCTCAGTCGATGCTGAAAAGTCTATGTTGTCAAAGCTCAAGCATGGTAAGCGTGTGGGGCCTGGGCTTCTCCCCTCTTAACTGACGGTTGCTGTCCCGTGTGTTGCCCTGATCTCACTCCCTCCTTCGCTGTGTCCAGAGTGTGGTGCAGCCTTCACCAGCAAGCTGGAAGGCATGTTCAAGGACATGGAGCTTTCGAAGGACATCATGGTTCATTTTAAGCAGGTGAGTCGTGTTTCTTCAGGTAAAGCAGCTTTTTAAAAAGTATGCGTGGTGGCTCATGCCTGTAACCCCAGCACTTTGGGAGGCAGAGGCAAGAGGCTTTCTTGAGGCCAGAAGTTCAAAACTACCCTGATCAACATAGCAAGACCCTGTCTCTACAAAAGAAAAATGTTTCGAATGAGCAGGTAGTCCTAACTACTGGGGTGAGGCTGAAGGTGAGAACATGACTTGAGCCCAGGAATTTGAGGCCGCAGTGAGCCGTGACTGCACCACTGCATTCCAGCCTGGGCAGCAGAGTGAGACCTTGTCATGGATGGGTGGATAGATAAGTACATACGTAGACAGATAGAGATAGCAGTACCTTGTCATAAGTAGATAAATAGCTAAAGTAGGTAGATTCAATAGATTAGATAGAAAAAATGAATCTCACTCTAAACTGTAAGAAAAAAATTACACTATTAATGTTTCACAAGTAAATTTTAAAAGGAGAAGAAAAAGAAGCTCTAAACATGTGTGGCAAGAATTTGATTTCAGTGAGTCTGGTGGTGACACCTGAAGAAGGGAAAAAGGCAGTCCCAGTGAGGCATTGGGTTTCACGGAATACATTCTGGGGACTGAGAGAAATTCTGACGCAGCTGAAACTTTATATTGAAAATTACACGGTTTATTTTGTTTTAGGTTAATTATGTTTTATTACTTTCTCAAAATGATTGTCTTGGATTTCTCTGTTTTTAGCATATGCAGAATCAGAGTGACTCAGGCCCTATAGACCTCACAGTGAACATACTCACAATGGGCTACTGGCCAACGTACACGCCCATGGAAGTGCACTTAACCCCAGAAGTAAGTGTGCGGAAGGCGTGCTGTCTGCTCCGGCTGTTATGCCCTTACCAAGCACAGATATGTCGCCTTCAAGACTTGTTTAATGGGGAGTTTTTAAAAATAGCCCACTCAGTCCGAAATCAAAAGTGCTCGTATGTCCGCATTAGAAAGTGACAACTTTTGTCGCCCTCTGTGTCTCCTCCCAGTGCAGCCTGTGTCCACCTGCTGACCTGCAGGGGCCCATGAGCACAGCAGCCTGTGTCCACCTGCTGACCTGCAGGGGCCCATGAGCACAGCAGCCTGTGTCCACCTGCTGACCTGCAGGGGCCCATGAGCACAG